ATGGCTCGGCTATTGTCGTCGTTGTAGCGAATGGACACGGGCCGCTACCCGAATGCTTCTCGAGCTAGTAATTATCACGAGCCCAAATCGAGTGCCCACGCAATGCTCGGGTCCAATCTATGAACTGCATTCAAATATCGTAATATGGGGTGTACTGCGATACCCACGTTACGTCATCAAATTTTGCAAAGGAGAGATTGAATGAAAATGATCGGTTTTTTCCTTGAAATTACACCGCAACAAAGGAGTTTCTTGGACAGTGGCGTTGCGTGCGAGTATCCTTGAGTCCCAGGTGTGCCAGTAAGCTCGTGTAAAGTGAAAAACATTCCAATTGAATATCGTTGCACTGCTCCTTTAATCTCGCAGACTGGGAGAACACATTTATACGTTAACGCACAAATAATTTCAAAACATGTTAAATTCTTGCCATCGTAAAATGGCATCGCGAGCGTTACTCTCATTTACCACATTTCTGCTGAGTATGCCAATATGTGTACAACCCTATGACTCTAGCTTACCGCTAAACTGATTTACGACTTTAGAAAATAACCCTCAGTACGTCTCCCCGGCCTGTCACAACCTTTATCTGCGTGCCGGTTATCTCGATTTGAGATCCGACGTTGCCACACGATAAAATTTTTACGAATTGGTGGAAGACTTAATAGGTGCCGAAAAATATGATCAACTGTTCGGATGAACAATGAAATAATAAATGTATTAATTTATTCTAGCTATCTTCAGTATACCACGGGGTTGATGTAAATGAAGAAATCGGTCATGGCCATGCGGGTTTTCAGGGTATGTGCCATCCGCGACGCTCACGTAATCACGAGAAGACAAACGTTTTACGCTTTTCTTTTAACTTGTTTTTCCTTCGTTGTTTGGTTTTTCACGTTATTATAGGCTTTATTTGCCAGAATTGTACCATACAGAATCGATCCAAATCAATCGCAATTTTGTCGCAGTTAGATAATCACTTATTTATTACGCCAAATTGTGTCCAAAATTAAGGCTGAAAAAAAAAAGTTATTTTATTTACAGTGGGGTGAGGCAACGGAACGACGTTGCATTGCCCCACATCCCTGATTTCTATGTTGTCAGCATTTTCGAAGACGTCTAAACTCTCCCAGTGTAACTAGCTCTGCGCTGCAATTGCGCAAATAATATTAATCTGTTCATTCCCTTTTTACCCTCATATTCACAATTCTAAAGGTGTGCATTTAATTTCCGTTCTTCTCCCCGTTTCTCTGTTTCACATCTTCGCCGTCAGGCTGCGCCAGTTTTCGCTCCATACTTGGATAGTCAGTAGCTCTCTGCTCCTCTCCTTCGCGTCTTTTTCGCTGGGTGGTGTTGCGTCCCCTGGGGTTCCATGATCAAGCGTCACCAAGTTAGACGAGTTAATTGAGCTGAATTAAACTCTATTGATACTGTACACAAAGGCAAGCAAGGAAGAATTAAACCGCCAAGTACAAAGACAAGCTCAAGACAACCGGTTAAAAAACAAAACAAAACAAAAAAAGTTTTTTTTTTTTTTATTTAATAACAACCGTTGACCATGCCTGTTCTGTGGCTGAGGTCTCACTGTACTTTGTTTCACCTTGAAGGGGCACTTAAGAGGATTCTGCGATCGTCTGCTCTTGGTTATAACTAGGGATCCGTGTTTTCGGAGTTTATTTTTCGTGAAATTCGGAGGGTGTTTTTCGGAGTTTATTTTGTAGAAACAATTCGGTGTTTATCGGAGTTTATTTTTTTTTTTGTAAATCCACAATTCTCCGAAATTCGGAGATTAATTTCGCAGTGTTTCCTATTAAAAATAATAAATAATAACCGGATGCAAACGTATGCCAGATAAAAAATAAAACGCGCTTGTATCAATTAAGATTTCTTCAGTTGAATTTGGCGTTGGTGTCATTGGCAATACTAATTCGTCCCACGACAAAAATCGCACAAAAGTGTGGCTTCGATAAACGTCGAGACCTTAAAATCAATAAACTGCCGGAGGTAGCTGCAAGGAAGCTCGTAGTCATCCCATCAATCTATCCCGCGGCCGCGCGGGGATAGATTGATTTTCTATTTTATACCATCTCTATGGCCCATAGCTTTCTCTGTTACCCCTCCAGAAACATATTCTCTACTTTCTCTAAATCCCAAATTCCATGGCCCAAACTGGAAACCAAAAGAGTGACTTTTGTCGTGACACGAATGGTACGATGACCTGATTCCCTGAACCAACCTTGACGAGACAAGCCGTAAGACGCCCTTTTGACAACGGCCCGAGGCTTGAAAGATAGTTATGGTGTCATTTTCACAGGACCATTAATCCTGCGCTGCTCAAGTTCTAAAAAAAAAAAAAAAATGCTGTGGGGGGGGGGGGGGGGGGGGGGTAGGCATGGGAACATAACAATTCGGAGCTTATCGGATAAAATTGACAGAAATTTTACCGGCGGGTGTTTTTCGGAGTTTCGCGGATGTATCCGAAAACACGGAGCCCTAGTTATAACTTATTTTACGGGCATCCTAAAAATCCATAAATTGGAATCACGCGACGCCGATTTCCCTATTAAAAACGTGATGAAAGGTCGGGACAGACCACTTTCTGAGCGGCGGAAAAATCCGCTAAGAAAGTGGTGTCTCTGGACCTTTTATCACGTTTTTAATAAGGAAATCGGCGTCGCGTGATGGTAATTTTAGTATTTTTAGGATGCTTAGGGCCCGTAGAATAAGTTATAACCGAGAACAGACGGCCGCACCATCCTCTTTAGTGCCCCTTTAAGTCGAGACGCAGCCGACCGGCGTCAAAAGCGCACTAACATGGTGTTCGTCATGGTTCTGTACGTGTTCTCTTATTGCTGGACCAACCATAAACAGGAAAGGCCTACACTGACTTTCGTTTTAACGCTGCTTGATTGGTCCCATTAGCTCGTAGCGTCGAAAGGAAGTATAGCCATATGTGTTTCCCTTATTCTAATTATTAGCATAAAATATTATTGTCTTTTTAGTTGCACACTTACCTTATTTATTTATTTTAAATTAGCTTTAAGTCTGCAGTGCCAACGCAGGAGCAAGCAGGGGTATCTTTATTTTCTAATCCTTTTTTTCTAACGATCCCAACTAAAAATTCTGCCTTTTATAAGTAACGACAATCAACGCGAATGGCGGAGCACATTTTGTGTGAAGAACATGGTGTGCTGCTATACTCTGACATTCCTCAAATTTGCACTGCCACCCGAGTCATCGCAGCGAAGAATGTCGTCACTTGTATGAAGCATCAAGTCGTCCTCTTATCAAGGTGGTTTTGTTGGGCGAGTTGGTAATGATTGAATATGGGTAAAATTGCGCTCAAATAAAAACGAACAGAGAAGGGAGAGAAGAGACAAGTGCAAACTCACAACTCTATGTATTGAAGGAAGAAAAAAGAAGCACAGCCCGCAGTATCAGCTCGGGCGGAGGTCACACTGGCACGGGGGCACCCGAGCACGTGGAGGTCACACAACATTAACCACACTCGTACGATTGCAGATAAGCGATTTCCTTGTCGGTTAATGCCACAGAAGGTTGGCTGACACAACGCTCGCCTAGGCGGAGTATACTAAAACCTTCAAAAGATTTCCCTAGTGTGTTTTTCTTGGAATCTGCCGTTTATCGAGTTTTGTTTGTAAAGATGGTGCACACTTACACGCTTGAGAAAGCAGGGGTAGGTGACCCCCCACCGTGGAATTTAAAGAAAGAGTGTGTTCCCTTAAGCGGTCATTAATACACCGTCCCGTTTGTCTTACCTGGGATCTACCACATAAAAGGAGGATGTTATAAATCACACTGGTAGAGCAGGGCACAAAAGGATGGGCGTGTTTTGTGCTGTACCTGTGTTTTGTAATATTTTCTACTTTTGCTCAAACTTCAGAATAAATTTGACCCATTTTTTGGGGGGGCTGACATAATTGAGGGGACCCCGTACCTATTGGCTACCTATTTTGGATTGTGAGAAATTCTATGTATATGTGCAACCACCACCACTCTTTTTGTCGACGATACATGCAGCTTTTTCACATCCTTTTACTTTTTTATCAATTTTCCTACCACCTCAGTTAGCACCTGCGTTGAAAACCCCGATGATGTAAGCCTCACAATTTGAGCATTAAAGCTGCCTTTTATGGTGTGGAAAAATTACTTCTTTAAGGCTGAAGTAAGGCAAGAAAGAACTATGCCTTTTTTACGGCTTTTGAGTGCGAGGATGTATAGTGTAGTAAAACTTTTTTAGAACGGGGTGAAAATGACCAGCACAAATGGTTTGTTTGCAAAAATAGGGAAAGGTCTAGAAATCGTGGCGAGGGGTCACCTACCCCTGCATTGTCAAGCGTGTAAGTGTACACCATCTTTATAAAATACCTTGATAATGGGCTGATTCCACGAAAAACATAATAGGGAAAAATTTTGAAGGTTTTAGTATACTCCGCCTAGGCGAGCGTTGTGTCAGCGAACCTTCTGTGGCATTAACCGACAAGGAAATCACATTCCTGCAATCGTACGGGTGTGGTTGATGTTGTGTGCCCTCCGCGTGCTCGGGTGCCCCCGTGCCAGTGTGGCCAGGTGTGGCCTCGGCCCGGGCTGATCCTGCGGGCTGTGCTTCTTTTGTATTCCTTCAATGCATCGAGTTGTGAGTTTGCGCTTGTCTCTTCTCTGTCCTCTGTTCCTTTCTATTTGTGCGCAATTTTAACCATGTATATTCTCTTATCAGCAGCGTCCCAGCTTGTGCTTGATGACGCGGCGCTCATGTTGGGTCTGAATACTTCTCACATATCTAAGTGGCACAGAGTTTTATAGTGTAACGTCATTGTTATCTATATGTGTCGAAGCACGGTGTCACCCGAAAAAAAGAAGAAAAATAAGAAAAGAAAAGAAAATAGACTGGGATTGATGGGAAAGCGTCGGCAACTATTCTTTGTAGGATCCACCGACTTCGCATCAGGGATGTCGAGTAAATGCACACACACACACTCGGCTGTCACAACAGCAACAAATTCTGTATTTCACTCACGTCTTCTGAAAAAAAAAAAAAAAGAATCAAGGAACAAATTGGTAAATCATGACAGTGTTCATACAACAAACACATTATTGAGGTTATGAGTGTGTCCATGAGTCGAAATCCTCGTAACAAAGAACTCAAACCCAGTCCCACTGCACGCCAACCAAACCCGGCGACCAATGGCGGGTCGCTATACGTGCCGCTTGACCTCAGTGTGTAGCACGCAGAGCCTGCGGTATAGCAGCGCGATAAACGTCAGGGTGCGGGGGTTCGCAATCAGATGCCGCGCGATCCTACAGCCTTATACAGCTTAAGAAAAATAGGTGCTCATACGCTCACATACACGCGCCGGCCTCCTGCGACTTTGGGTGTCGAGTGGAACATGCACCCTTATGCCTGTTCGACTCGGTGGCATCCGTTTTGTACTATCAACCTCTATAGAGTTCCCCAATACTGAAATAGCAGCGCTGTAAATCTAACGCTTCTAAAGTATGTGGGGTGATCAAAAACGAAACTGCCTAACGACTAGAGCAACCACGGGTTTATTGTTGTGGCCACGTGTGGCTCGTGTTTTTTGTTTTTGTTTTTCTGTCGGGACATATGTACACGTGTTCGTACAAAAATAAAAATGGTGCACAATTGCTGGGTAAGCGAAATAAGGCGAATTAAAAACAATAATCTCGCAAAAAAAAAAAAAAAAAAAAAAAAAAAAAAAAAAAAAAAAAAAAAAAAAAAAAACGGCGGGGGTGCCAATGGGGCTGGGGCCGTCAGGAATGTCTTCGCGTTCAGATGGTGTCGAGATGTAACGGAATGTCGCTGTAAGGCAGTGGGGGAGGGGCTGCTGCGTACGTGTCGTGTTGTCCTCGCTCCAGCTGTACACAAAAATACGAAGGCAGGCTCTTCCTTTTGTACATGACTTGTCAACTGCGAGTACCGAAGTTCCTACGGGCTGGCGAGAGGACATCCTCGAACAACTGCTAAGCCGACTGGCCGCTGAACTTTAATGAGCAGAGCAGGAGCCCGTAGACGAGTAGAAGCACGCGGCTACAACTCATCGAGTCCATCGGGCTACAGTTAAACAACAAAGTCATCTAGGCGCAACAAAAAACAACATAGTATCAACAAGGTATCTGACTAGATCCACGGGGCGCGCACAAATGAGCCGCGCAACATTTCCGCTGTAACAAGCGCACTCTACAGATGCGGTACATACTCTCTGTCAAGAAAGAAACTATAAAAAATTCGCTGCAACATCCCATAAAACTTTGAAGGTTTAATAAAACGCTCTCGGGAGACTAGATGCGAACTGCTCTTGAGAGGTGAATCAGCGACGACTGCACAAAATGTCGCACCGCGTCGTGTCCCATGGTAATATCACGCGGTTTCCACTTGGAACTGACACAGCGAGGCTGGCGCTGGGGGCCTTATTCTCTGCCCGTTCGACGAGGAGTAAAGGCGGCACAGGACACGCTCGAAAGACGAGTGGACCCTCCCAGCACAGAAGGTCGCTGTGTACCTTGCTCCCTCGACCCAGAGCTTCGTGGAGTCCGAACCGGAATTTTGAACCGGAAATGTCAGACCGGACATTGGGTTCAATTCCCTACAGCCGGTAAACTACTCTCTCGGACATAGAGCTTCGGGGTCAGAGCGTGAGCCTCTCTTATAAACTCGGCAGGCGGCAGCCGCATGGACATATACGCATAATACTTGGTGATGTGAGGGTGAGCTGCCGACAGAAAGAGGAAAATATACAAGTGTGTGAGAATGTAATGCGATTCCCTTGCGACCCTAAAGTGCATAACGGGGTGTAAAGCTAGAGGCCGTGCACGCTACGATGCTGTGGTTAGTGGTGTAGACTGGTGTGGTGGAAAGGGGGGGGGGGGGTGATGGTGATGGACATAAAATGCATCGCCAGAAATGCACGAGGGACTTGGGCCCCCGACAGGGGAAGTAACAAAACAAATGTAACAACGTGAAAGCACGGCACGAAGACGGACTGAAAACGCACTTAACTGCTATCACAACGATCATTATTGTGAGGTGGACCCCAAAAGACCGAGGCCGCGGCGCGAGGCCAAGAGGCAGATTTCCGACAACGACAACGGAAAGGCTTAAAAAAAGACAAGAGACGGGACCAGGGTGTTGTGAAGACGTCAACAGAGTCACAGACAAACGGCCCAACTGCGACGTTCGCCGGACAATCCGAAGGCAGCGCGTCCACTCCCAGGGGCAGTGGCCCAGGATCGCCACATGAGAGAGCAAGTCCCTGGCCGAGGCGTGGACTACAGCCCGCCCAGTGCCGACATTTAAAAGGGCAGGCTGGACACGAACATGTTCTCGATGACGGCGGGTGCAGGCACCAACTCTTCGAGCTTCAGGTAGAAGATCCGCTGCAAGCCCTGCAAGCTCAGGCTTCGGAGGTCTGGCAGCTTGGCCAGCAGGCGAGAGAAGTAGTGGGGCTTCTTTTGCGCTTCGCTGTTGTACGTCACGTGGTCCCGCAGGGAGCTTACTATCTTCATCTGGAGCTGTTCCACCTTGGCGCAGTCCTTTAAGCCGTGGCGTTCTGCGAATCAAAAGACAAGAGAAGTAGCTTTGAATGAAAGGTGAAGCTCGCCTCGCACTATGATTCACACTTTTTAAGGAGTATGGAGCTCTGAGTTAACTTGCTACTATGTCACTGAAAGGCGTCAATAATGGCATAAGTGCACGGGTACATTCATGGCTATGTGAAGTGTTTTGGTTGTGCAAAGATATATGCTGACGAAACAGCTTCCAAAACGAGAAATCATTCTCAAGTGTGCCTCGTTATCTTTAAAAAAAGGTACGAAACGATTTTTTCTTTATGTTTCGCAATACGCTGTTTGGAATAATTCCTTGACGTTCATAACCAACACGCTGCCAGAACAAGCGGTCAAGCGATCTCAGATAATAATATTAATAATAATATTAGTAATATAATAAACCTTATTATTATTTTCTAACTAAAATACAATGTGGGTGGATGACAAGGGAAAAAAGCTTCTAAAAACAGTTTGACTTGCCCCAAGCCCATATATGCTGCTATAGTCAATGACAGAAACAAGAAGCACAGAATGTATTTTTTTTTTGATGGCCAGACTCCAGCATGCACTCGTTGTCTTCCTTCGTGCTTTGCCGATGCGTGCACGCTTGAAGCTGATGAGAAACCGAAGTCTTTTTGAAGGCAGGAAGCTTAGGATGAAGGAGGGACGACTGAAAGTTCTCCTTGTTCTCATGCTTTGTCAATTGCTATAATGTTCATCACAGCCACGCTTTGTGCATGGCAGTACACAGGGAACGTGCTGTGCTCTGGAGATTGTTGGAGTTCGGCTATTCCTGCCAACTCAGCTGTTGGACACGATCCTCAACGCGGATGGCCACCAACAAACTAACTGTAACCAAGCAGAAGTGAAGTGCTCCCACAGTACTCCTGCTCAGTTATGAGAAGCCTTTGCCTGAAGTCACCCTAGTGTGAAGCCCGTGACTACGTCATCATGCTTCGTGATCCCCACGACTACATCATCAAGCTTTGAGAAGGAGAGACCGAAAGAAACTCTCCGCTTCTCTGCTTGGAAGCAGATCGCGACAAAGATGCTTCTGGCTCAATGGCGTTGCCTGCGAGTATACTTGTTTCAGTGTGCTTCTGTACGGTGAGTAACATTCAAACCCAAAATCGTTTCATGGCCCCTTTAGAAACTAGGTAATACGCGATAGCAAAAAGTTATATGTATTCTTTGATTGCTTACTTGAAGTGCTTGATTAAAATCAGGGCGTCTCTACTCAGAGTCATACTTAAGCCCGTCTCAACCCTGATTCACATGGTGCGAATTTACCTGCGATTTCGCAGCTGCGGCGTTGAGCTCTTGCAGCGTCCACCACGCATTGTTTGACGCACGAGCGACCTCACAACTGCGAAATCGCAAGCTAAATCGTACCATGTGAATCACACTTCACATTGTAGAATTTTGCTTGCAATTTTCAGATGCAACGTCGCTTGGTGCAGCAAAAAAACAACAACAAAAAAAAGGTAAAAAGTAAAGTGGACGGCAGATGAAGTACACGTTGTTTGCACGGGTTTTTGCCGCATGAGACCGATATTCGCAAGTGGAATCGTATCACGTGGAACGGGCTTCAGCGTACAACGGTCTTGAAACCGCCGGCGCGAGCGTGTGGCTGTTGGGCAGGCGGTTCATTTCTCCGTGCTCCAGCGCCAATGAGACGCTAGACGTAACCACGCGCTCGTGACAGTAACTTCGACAGCGTTCTGGATTAAGTATAAAACAAAGTATAATCCCCCATAGATAAATTATTTCAAGATACCACTCTTCGGTGCAGGTGCACAAACCATTTCCAGAATGCTTCGCCCCCCCCCCCCCCCCCCCCCCCCTTCTAGAATATGCACCATTCCAAGGTTTACAAATCCACAGCCTCGCGTGCAGTCTCCACCAACGTCGGTCTCAACAGCCCTACGCGCGTGTTCGCCTCTTCGGAAAGTGAACAAATTACGCGCCGTGCGCACGAATGCCGAAAAGGGAATTTGCCAGGAGCCCTTTATTGAAACGGCGAACGTCTGAACATTCTGAACAGTGGCGGCCCAGACGACACCGTGGAACGTGCCACTTTAAAACTATAACAACGAGGTGGAAATTGAAAAATTTTGAGAGTTGCACTCTGGCAGTGCCAGCTCTTGGAACATATAGCAAACTTCTTAATGGGGTCTATACACGATTGCAAACGGCACCAGGCCACCACCATGTCTCTGCTCGTGTCAACAAGGACGCGCAACTGCAAGCCTGTTAAAGTTATCTTCAGGCGCAAGCTTGACGCGTGGGGCCACAGCCTGATGGCCATCCTCATCAAGCTGGTGCCCCATGCGCACAGGAACGTGCAGTATGTGCGCAAAGGTAAGTTTAGTAGACTTGCTGTTTAACGTGTTTACTGTCACGAGCAAAGACGAGGCAGCGGCCTGGTGCCCTTACTGCAGTCGTTTATTGGAATCATGCTTATGCCTCACATATAAAAAAAAAAAAGAAAAATAAATAACGACAGAAATTTTGACTTTGGGGTTTCATTCACTTCCAATAAAGCGCCCCCGATTAAGCACGGTTCAGTTGTGAGGAGGAGTTTTGAACCGTGTGGGCGAGGATATTTCCGGCTACGACACTAAAACGAAGAGCAGCGACTTACCAGTGACGAGAGTCAGCGCAGCAAGGCAGGCGAATGCAGATATGTCAATCTGCATGGCATGCAGACTTTGAGAAAACTCGAAGATGGCACCGAGCCAGTCCCCGAAGATCCTCTCGCACTGGCTCCGATGAAGAACGACCCCGTTGCAGAAGGTGAACTCGTCGTCATCTTGCCTGATCCTACAACAAAACGAGGGGTAACCTTAACTTCCAGGGAGAAATCGCAACAGTAGCGTAAACTCTAGGCTTGTGCATGCATTGTGATAGCATGAAACGGCTTGTGTCATCACGCAATAAGCGGGGACAAGTCCAATCTAAAACATTCGTCCACTGTGTTTGTGCATTTTACTCTTCCTCGTTCATTGCTCAATGTCCTTTTCATCCTGACATCCCTAACTTTCTTGGACATCGACGCCTCGGCGCATGCACTAAAATGAAAATTTCAACTGAACTACAACAAACATCGAAATATACCCCGGTAATATTTTAGATGACACTCATAAAATATCAATAGGCAGTAATTAAACTTTTGGACGCGTATAGTTTTTATTCCATGGCTCTACAAATTGTTAGCATTGAATGCTGTGGGCCAAATTCACAAAATTGTAAATTTCAGCTTTTCTTGACAAAGATCGTAATGTTCCCGAAGAATGTAATTGCCTGGGTATCATAGAAACGGCAAATAAACTAGAATTTTGATATTTTGAAAGCTTTTTATTTCACACAATGCCCCAGAGAGTTAGCCATGACTACAGAATCTACCCTACCAAATCGCCACTGCGGGCACCATATACTCGGCATAGTACCATATTTACTCAAGTACAATTTGAAAATGTTACTGTAATCTGAATCAAGCATACCAAGACAACAAAGGAACAGTTACGGAAAAACAACAGCAATAACAACTCCCATCTGCTTAACGAGAGTTTGACTTCGTAATATTAGGGTGGCTGGATGTGTGGATGTTGCATAGATGTTAATGACTATACCCTTTGTATTGGGCGGTAGCTTGCGCCACCTAGCCTAAGTCTAAGAAGACAGACATACGATTCAACCCGCCCTTCTTAGCCTATTTTCTCCCCCTACCACCAGGCAGTGTGGGAGGATGACCTTTGGGGGATCGGGCAAAAAAAAAAAAAAAGCTAAAAAACATCCCCCCGCCTCTTCCCCTCGGCGAGGGAGTCGCCAATCTTCCTCTCGTCAAACCTTGTCGGCTTTACCCCAGCACCGGACCCACTGGGGAATAGGGTTGAGACTTTGGGACGGAGCCACGCCCGGGGGTGGAGAGACCCAGTTTTCCTCCATCTTGCCTGTGCTCAACTGTGCTAGTTAGTTGTCCATCATTCGATTTTCCCTAGATAATTTACACCAATCTTGTAATTTCACCACTTTGTGACTATAATCCTTTCTCTTCCGTCCTTCCATCGTCGCCAGCGAAACCCAGGGCCCGCCAAATATGTTACCCCTTCAGGGAGGGCAGGGCAAAGCCCTGTGCACTTCAATACCAAGTGCTCAAGTGTTTCGCTATCATTATGGCAGGCAGCAAATAATGTGTCTGTCTCCGGAAATGTAGCCCCATACGTCCTCGTCCTCAAAACTGCCCTTCTCGCCTCAAACACTAAAGAACTTCCCAATGAATTGTCAAACACACTTTCCTTTCTTATGTCCTGTCTTTGTGTCCTGTACATTGTTGGAGCAGATTTTTCCGGCATTCTTACCTCACACGTTTTTCTTTCTGCCTTTTTCACTCCCCTTTCCACTGAAGTAGTCTGCTCAGCCCCATAACTAGTGTGTAGGTATTTAAATGTAAGTTTTCGGACTCGGTTTGTCCATTTTGTGTTTAAACTTTTCATGTATAAATACGTGAATACCTTTCGTGCCCACAGCATATCATCCATTTAGGTCAACCTTTGTTCAAATTTTAACTTACTAATTGCATCTCTGCTCTCAAAAGACGACCAGCCCATGTCCCCCTGTACTCCCTCATTTGCTGTCTTTCCATGTGCTCTCAGTGCCAATCTGTCTATGCTTCTTGGTCGAATTTCTAATCCCGATTGAACCTCTAATTTTATGCACGGCACCCCATTGCCAAAAGGTAGCCTTGGTACCATCCCTCCTTTCCATATACGTCGGACCACTTCATATCAATTATAGTTTCATAGTGCCTTGAGCTTCATAATAAATAAATTTATTTTCCCTTTTCTAATTATATTCTCCTCATGTTCCTTTAGATATTTCCTTCCCTAATTGAGCCATACTCCCAGTTATTTGTATTTTCCTACATGGTCTATTACAATGTCTTGTATCCTCAGGGGTTCCCTCTTTTCGCCGTTAAACACCATTACTCCAGACTTGTCACTACTAAAACCCATGTCCAAGGTGTCCCCCTCCTCTCCAAACATTCCAGCTAGTTCCTTTAACGTGTCCTGCTTATCTACCATAAGTACTATGTCGTCCGCATACATCAGTCCTAGTATTCCCTGTACTAAATATCTCCCTCCTTCCATATAACTTGCATCACACACTAAATTGCCTTTTCCATTTCCCTGAGATATATTATGAAGAGAAGCGGTGACAGTGGACAGCCCTGCCTGAGCCCTCCTTTATTGCTGTGGGCTGTGTAGTTTCTGCTTCCCATGTTATAATTACCTTATTGTCTGCGTACACCTGCTGAAAAAACCTAAACAAATTTGCACCTACGTTATACTCCTTCAGTTGACCCCAAATTTTTTCCTGGCTCACATTATCGTACGCTCCCCTGATGTCCAAAATAAGCGAACCATAAAGAAGTTTGGTTCTTCATTGCTATTTCTATACGTTGTGTGGCGACGAATAAGTTATCTTCCAGTCTTCTATCTCTTCGGAACCCGTTTTGGAGCTCACCCAGTATTTGCATATCTTCTGCCCATTCCTCCATTCTCCGCTTTACTATCTGAATAGCGAATTTGTATATAACTTTAGTTACCATTATTGGGCGATATGTCTTAATGTTCTCTTTGTTTCCTTTGCCTTTATATATTAGCTCATTTTACTTAGTTTCCAATCATTGGGTACCTCTCCTCCCATAATCATTTCATTAATCAGATACCGTAACTTCAGTTTGCTTGTTTTTCCTAGTGTCCTAATGAGTTCTATGGGTATATCGTCTCGGCTTGTCGCTGAACCTGCTGGAACCTTACTTTCTGCCTTATCCCATTCTCTTGTGGTCGTCTCGATTGTTGCATAAATCTGCTCCTCCTCTATACTGCTGCTGTCAGTGCTATCCACTGCCCCCCTCTGCTCAATCTGTGAGAAAGCCTCTTCGATTGTCCGTTTAATATACCCACGTGTCTATTCCCCCTCTACTCTTCTACCCTCCTGTATGGTCAGTATGGGTTGGAAACCCTCTGTCTTTCTCCAATGCGCCCTTTAATGTGCTCCCAAAACGTTTTTGCCGCATGCGTATCTTTTTTTTTTTTATTTACCTTCATCATCCACTGCACTCCTGCACTCCCAATTTTGGCCTGTATTAAAGCCAATGTCTCCCTTTTCCGCTCTTGGAAGTCCTCCCATTTTGATGCTAGTTCAGCTGGCAAGACTTTCCTTTTCTTTGCCCACCTATGCTCCCTAGATGCCTCTTGGCGCTGCAATATGGCTGCATTTACCTCCTTATCCCACCAGTGTTGCCCATGAGAAACAACTCAAGCATGATATCTTTTCTCCCGCGCGACGTGCGTCTCATCAAATTTATTTATTTATTTATTTATTCATATTACCCCTAAAGGCCCTCGCGAGAGGGTATTACATAGGGGGGGTACATAAATCGTTCCAATAGGAACTAGTGCACAGTGAACAACATATGAGAATACCAGAAAACAATCAATACACTTAATAATAAAAAGAAAATTAAGTACACACTCAAACGCCCTCTGTCGCATCGGTGAGAAACCTGCGCGTAGTAGCGGAGGATCGAAATGCACCTCCAGAACAGATCACTCGTCCAGTAAAACCAAAGCCGACAGTGGATGTGAGGCATAATGGCGTGCACCAGTGGCCTCAATACAGAGAGAAGAACAGGTGAAAACAATGCAAATCCTGTCACACCTTTCTCTAAAGTGCAAATCTCGATATGCAACTGTTCCTCCATACCAAGTCGTAACTGCTTTCAGTCATTCGATGAGAAGTAGTGCTGAAAATGGGCAACGTTGCTCAAGAGCAGCCTTTAAAAAACATGCTTACGAATAAAGTTTTTTTTTCTTTTTTTTTCTTTAGACCAGACTTCTGTTATGCTGCGTGTTCTAAAACCGCTTCGGGATTTTTAGGTCTCCAGTATTTTAAGTCAAGTTTTGGGCATCAAAGGGAAAAGGCGATACTAAACTGGCAAAGCTTAATCAATTAAATGGGTTTTCCTTTTCATTTGCTCTTTTGTTACCGTCCTCAAAAAAAAAGCAGATGCGTGGCAATTCAGTATTACTTTCCCCGCTAAGGAGACACACTTTTAGGTAGTTACTCACCTGTACGCCAACCGCAGAGCGAAGAGTTCTAAGCTGGCTGATTGGAACAGAAGCTCCTGGTCACTCCTGTCCAGCTCGCTGAAGCCAGGTATCTTCTCCGAGAAAGCCTTGATGTAATCGACGGACGACGTCAACAAGCTGTAGAACTGCTGAACCTCACTGGCCGTCCTCCTGGACTCGTCGACCGGCAATTCATGACACTGAAACGACAGATATGGCGGCCACTGAGCGCACCGGGACGAGTGCTAAACACGTTCCTAAAAAAAAAAAAAAAATGGAACAAAAGCTCGTTCCTAGTTCCTTCTGATTTTTGGAACGCGTTTCCGTTACAAGTGCTATTTGTGAAAAAGTAACTCATTCTCGTTACATTTAAAAGTATAGAATGTATCGTTACATATATGTTACATTTGTATTTTGATGATTACCATATTCAACTAGATCAAGCAGTTTTTTTTTTATCTATCCCATCAAATGGCAATATACGAATTTGAATGCCGTGATGAAAAGACACAAGGTGAAGAAAACAAGCGGAAGCAAGGTTTCATTTGTTGATATATTCACCTTTAAAAATCAAATCTTTTTGCCATATTCATCTTTGTGGTGAGCGATTCAGACGAGCCAAATATACTGTTACCCCACATTGCACGAGAGTTTTAGAACAACCTTACACGTTTCAGTGTAACAAAGTTCCGTGTTCTAACTTAACAACTCTTGCTTCTCGATGTTTCTGTCCGCAAGACGAGCAAGTGGAGAAGAGGGTAGGGCTTTTGGAAGGCCGGTCTTGCAAACTACCAGTCCTTCGTGAAGGTTGGGTATGCTGTTTGATTTGAAGGTGGGGGATAAGGGGAGAATCAGTGAAGGTTGATTTTGTGTATTTTAAGAGAACAATGTTCAGGATACAAGGTGTGTTCGATGTCTGGTAACATGTTCTTCTGTTTTAACTTTAGGTTTCTTTGTGCAAGTTCAGTGGTGGTTGCAGTCGGCGTTAGATTTCTGGGTGTATGATGATTCGTGGAAGAAAAGAAAGTAGCTGAGTTTAGACGTTCCACTTTCTGCATCTTTTCCTTCGACTAAAAGTTTTTTTTTTAACTGCACTCTTGGGCACTAAAAAGAAAGCATCGATGTCTACTAGCTCTCCTGCACCCAACTGTTAACGAGCGAGAACCCCTCAAAATAAGCCCTAAGATAAGTAATAGAAAAGTTCACGAGACCCTGCCCTTCGTATTGATATTGCTATATACGTTTAGAATTTTCCTCTTTAAAATAAACTAAAAATTACCCCACTGGAGAAAAAAAAAAAAAAAAAAAAAGGAACACCGTTCCTTTTTCTGTTTCAGTAAAAATGTAACTAGTTCCCGTTCCAGTTACACCGATGCAAAATGGAACGGCGGCGTTCCTTCGTTCCTCCGCAAAAAGCACGTTCCAGGAACGCCGTTGTGACGGAATGGAACGACGTTGTGACGGGACACTGACCGTGACCCGTCACATACGGTACTGGCGAAATATGGATGTACTGCCTCGGAGTGGATGGGACTAGGGCCTAAATCGGAACGCGCTTTTGGCAGGGTTAATGGGTTATACGTGTTTCCGAGAATATTTTGCATCAAATTCACAGCCCGTTTTTCTGGGTCAAGGAGCGCGAGCGCATGGCTAAGTCCTTGAAATCTCCGGGGCCCCGAGGGGGACGCACGTTTTGGTTACCGGCTGTTAAGTCAGCTCTCCTTTTCGTCCAATAGTGGCTCTTGGTTTTGGTCATCGTCAGGGACGTGTCCCTCCACACTTCTGGCTTCACCTCTGGAGGCCTCATGTCGCCTCCAGAAGCTTCCTATCCTCGACCGCATCTAGTCACCGACCGCTTAAGGAACGCAGGGCGTGGCGGTCCTGACGTCACGTCGCTGCGGTGGCGCTGCTATAGGCAGGGCGCATGCGCAGACTATCCACTCGACGCGAATCTGGCTCTTGCGCAGGCGCACTGCCCACACCTCGTGCAAAGCTTGTTTGGAAACCACGCGTTGGCCTATAGCCGTGCACAAAGAACCCCTACGCCAACCTGTCGTGTCTGTTTTCAAGCCCACTGTTTTCAGCTGTAATGTCGAAGCAACCGAGGGCATTATATTCATAGATATAGCCTCACTAACTAATAATTAATTGCAGAAAAATTTTTTTTTCTTTTTTTAAGATTGATTATTTTATTATAATTGCGTGACTTCGCTGAATCATAATGTTTCAGCGGACGCTGCAACGACCGACCAATTCAAAGATGAGGCGGAAAACTCCTGGGCGAAAGTTCGGAGAAACAGCACCAACAATTTAAATCGTAGAGTACGTTTCTTACTACCATTCAATCTTAGTTACAATTATCTTCACGAAAACTATCCGCAGTTAACCTGTCTGACAGTAGTGGTTCAGCGTTGACTTCTTACGATGCTCTGTATTCTCAAATTTTGAAGTATTTTCAGAAGCAATTAGTAACCACGACGATTTTCGCGGCACCTATCTATGCAGTCAAATAAAGCATAAAAACACACAAGTGTAAGTACCGGGCAGATTTTTTTCTAGACCAAACATATTGCAGCGGTGACCCACGAAAACGCACTGTTTAAGTCACCGCGCTCAAGCAGCACCGGAGGTCTTGTAAATTCTGAAATGCGCTTCGATCTCGAGCAGCTGGGACGTATGTTTAAACGTTGGTGTCTCACAAAAGCAATCGCAAGAGAGCACGCTCACTTACCGACGAGTAATCTCTGTTCACGAGGTCCGGAGAGGTGTCCACGTGGGCTCTGACGAGGGCCGTGATGAGACTGACAGGTGGCGACGGTGGAGATTCTTGGGGGCTCTTTGGTTTCGAGGGAAGACGACCGCGTCGACCCTTCAAGCTGTCTGTTCGAACCACTGCAAGTGAACACAAGTGATGCTCGATAAAACTAACTCATTATAGACCAGCCTGTCTCTCTATCTAAAATATTAATAATGTAGTGTCTTTATACAGCCGGAAGTTAGTCAGCCTCAATGGGCGTCTGGTGTCTCAGCAGTAGATGAGAAATTTTGCCATTAGAGTACAACCGATAGCTTAGGGTCTTTAACGTGCATCACGCAGTAGTGATACACGACCGCATGTCGGTACGATGCTCATCCAGATCGAAACGGGCAGGGGTGGGGATTGAAAGTCCCTGTATTTGACATCGGAATTGTTTTCCGAAGCTACGGAGAGTTACCGCCGCACAGTCAGCAAGTACTCTTAATCTTCGGTTAAAAGAACTAACACTTGGTCTCAATCGCAACGAGGCCAAATGTACCCAAGAAGAATGAGTGAAGGTATAATCATCCTAGTGCCACGAACGAGACAAACCCTCCGAACCACACTTTAAAAAGTATGCGAGTTTACTTTCCTGCAAAACATAAAAAAAAACACGAAAAAAAAATTCCAGCGAATGAAGAAGCTCATACTATTAGCTCAAATACTATTAGATGTAAAAATGTGATGTCAGGGTCATGGTCATTGTCCCTGTGCACATGTCATTTTTTTCACAACTAATCGTATTCTGCTGTTCGTTGTTCGCGGGGATTCTTATATTGTTCGTCTTGATATGGTTGTCTCGTGTTCTGCGCGAAAGTGAATTCTCACGGACCTTTTTTCTTTCTACAGTGCATGGTTCGTCTAAGCTAACAGTGATTTTAAAACAACAAGCACAAAAAAAAATAATAAACGAAATAACAGAAACATGAACATCTAGTCAACGATTAACTTTGCTCAGTTTTATTGCAGATGAAGCGATTGTCCAAGTCCTGGGTGCGCTCACCTTCTTTGACCATGCCAACGGCGAGGCATTTCTGGAATCTGCAGAACTGGCAGCGGTTTCTTCTTCTTTTGTCCACGGGGCAATCTCTATTTGCAAGGCACACGTACTTGGCTCCCTTTTGAACTGTCCTCTGTGTAGAATAATAATAAAAACAAAAATAGGTGCAGGTGAATTCGGGTGAAAATGTCACATTCAAGGCATCACCCGAATTCCTTTAGAAACAACAAATTAAACTACTTTATATATAAAAAAGCGCTTCTCGAAAGATTCTTATCTAAACTTTAATTAAATCAAGGTTTACGGAAAGCGAACCACATGCGCATGTGGGCCACGTACTTTGAGACCCTAAGCTCGCGTACCATATTAATTGTTACTTTTATTACGAGATACAATAGGGTATATATAGGGTATGTCTCGCACGAAATAAAATATACATATAATATATTTACAGACGCGGCGGAACGGAGTTTAACGCGTGAGAGCTGTCGACTATGCCGATGAAAAAGCGCTCGGAACCAGTGTGACTTCGTACCTTGAAGAATCCTTTGCAGCCTTCGCACGTTCGCACACCGTAGTGCTGGCAGGCTGCATTGTCTCCGCAGACGGCACATAACTGGTAGGATGGTGTCGGGGGAGCGGGAGAGGACGTCGAGCTCGAACCCGACGCTGGTGGCGTGCCAGGGGCCGAAGGCATCGCGAGTCGCAAACTGCGGAACAATGATGACTAATTTAACGCTCATGCCCATATGTTTGACCAAGGATGCCAGTGGTTGGACCCTCCCGAAAACTGAAAGTTTCGAGCTCTGTGTTAGCGAACCTAAAATAACGCGTTACCGCGGAACCATCAGTGCAAAGAAAACTGTACGTTGGAGATTGCTCTGAACTGCTCGTGAACTATAGTTTTTTGATCCTAACTAGTCTCTTCGCCGAGAACGTAGAAATTGCCAATTTTAATGTCTGACAGTTTTGCAGTATCTTCATATCATACAATAAAAAGCATAGTTTCGAAAAAAAAAAAAAGACTCGATTGATGAATTTTACAAATAAATTTAGCGGTGAATAAACGCTCTCGTCTCCTCGTCACCCTCAGTTTCTCGTTGTGACAGTGCACCTAAAGTTCCCGCTCGTAAAGGACTATATATTACTGTACAAAAAACTCGAGGCTTCGTGCATTGGGAAGTTGCACAGTCGTTCGGTCAATGAGACGTGAATATCAGATTTCTTATCTCAAAAGATAAATATATCTTACTTGAAAGTTATATGTGCTGGTTCCTATGCGCTCGAAATGCGTCTTTGGTAGCTGTCATCGTTTTACTATTCACGTGCTTGTCTTAATTATAGTCTGCCTTTCTGGATAATGGAAGCTTTGATAGAACCGAGCAGATGCTCCGCCTCCATATGCGCACGTTGTCTTCCGCCGGACTTCGTCTGCGCGTGCGAGGAAGCGTTATCAAAGGCAGAAAGCTGGAGGTGGAGCGTCGACTGTGCTTTTAGCCTGTCGCCGACTATGGGTCCTATCCGGAACGAGGTGCTACTAGATCGGTACTTGGCGTGGTAAAGTAACGAAGTAAAAGTTTTAAGTTTATGGTGGTTATCTTTGTGGTTTCGAAAGCTAGCCGCCACTGACTCGGAAGTTGATGCACCGTGCGCGGCGCGCAAAAGTTTGTTGTAAGTTTTTTTTTTTTTTTTTTCTCGAGAGGCAATGTGTCGTGTTGGACTCATCGACTGCCTGATCTCTCAACACAGCGGCCGCTTTTTTGCGAGAGAATCATTTCCGAAACTCAGACGTATCTCAGGTTCTGTGTTCGTAAACCTTTGCAAGCTCCCTGCTGCGTAAGATTCGCCGTTCATATATCGTAACACCGGCGTTTCCGAAACAATTTTACCAGCGACGGAATCACAAACGATCGTGAGGCAAAATGGTCACATCGACACAGAGAGGCCACACCTCCGACAAAGGGTGCTCCCCAAGCGTGCGGGAAAATGATTGGCAGAAAACCGTATCGAGTTCCGCGGGTCAGTGAGCGAGGCGAGACTCACCTTGCTTCCCCCGAGGTGGAAGGCTTCGTCAACGTCGACTTCCTGGACTGGACCCACGCAGAGCTGGGACTCGGCAGAGGCGGCGTGAGGTCTCCGGGAAAAGAGGTCATCGACGAAGACGAGCCTCCGGAGGCCAGGCTGAAGCTGGTGCTTTCCGACGCGCTGGGTGGGACCTGCGGCGAGGCTCCGGGGAACACGACGCCCTTCTGGAAGACGGGCGGTGAAGGCGACGGATGTAGGTAGCCGGAGAAACCTGCTTTAGCGTGTTCTTGCTCGCTCTGGTATTGCACGTAGCAGCTGGACGTCTGGTACGTTGGCGGTTCCGTCTTGTAGAAGTCCTGCGACGTGGTCGTCATGGCGGGTGGCGGTGGGGTGAAAGGCGGCCTGTAGCCGGACGTCTGTGGCTTGGGCGAAAAACCTCCGACGGACACCTGGTAGGACTCCGGGCTGCCGGCTTGGCCGGGCAGCTCGGAGTCCGACCGAAGTTCTTCGAATTTGAAGGAAAACACACCGGAGTGGGTGATGTCCCGCCTGTACCTGGAAGCAAGGGGCGTTTGCTGAAGACGGGCTACCCTCTCGGCCGGGGTCTGGCTTGTGAAGCGGCAAGGCGTCGGGGCAAGCAGGCAGTATTTCGGCAGTGCGGGAGGCGAGGCCCCGGAAACCCACCTGGGGGAGTAGGTTTCTTCGAAGCTGGGTAGGGTCGATGGGTTGGCGGGGGAGATGCTCAGGGGGGCCAACGGAGTCGGCTGCTCGGGGCTCACGGCTGGGAAACTCGACTGGAACATCTCCTGGTAAGAGGACGCCTCTCTTGCGCCGAACACTTCCGAGCTGACCTGCGCTCCCACAAATTCCAGACCGGGCAGCTTCAACTCCTCACTCAGCGACAGTGATTCCTCGGCTGGGAACGAGGACGACAGGTAGTCGGCGTGTAAGAGGCTGCTCGTAGAACTTAACGCTGCGCTCTGAAAACGAAGAGCGAACGAGTCGACATCAGTCCAGGGGCCATCGCCAAGTGAGCACTCGCGATGAAACGCGCGCCAACCAATGCCCCACGCGCACAAAGGAAGAACGCACGGGCCTCGGGAGCGAGCGCCGCGCACCTGGCCGCTTCCGGTCAGTGCGCGGCGCTTCAGACGCCGCGCTCGGGTCAGTCGCCGAGCACTGTGCACATAAGCGACTGCCCCACCTGCGCCCGACTCCGGGCTCTCCGTGCGGCGCCTGGACCGACCGCACTCTTTGCCGATTGCCGGCACTCTGCGACCGTGAGTTGGGCGTATAATCGGCCCAGGACCGATGGGGCTAGTGACCGGAGAAATGGTACGCTCTTCCCTCCCTTCTTACTCGACATCCTGGTGTGCGTTGTCCCTTACGTCGAGGGGGTAGAACACCGGGCGGTACACTGTAATTCTGTAACTCGACCGGTCACTCACTTTGTTGAGTGACGTGTATCGGATACAGCGCAATGGTCCCGAAAACATGACTGCGAACGCACGTGCATCGTTTTTTTTAGTTTTTTTTAGGGTTAGTAGGATGTTCAGTCATCACACAGCGACTGAATACAAGCTCAACAAAAGTCTACGCGCCGTGTGCAGGGCATCGACTTTTGTTGATGCGCCGCACATTGCGTAAGTACATACACTATGTGAGAGACAAAAACGGAAAGAAATAAAGAAGACTTCGCATATTTGTATTGGGAAAGAAAGAAAAAAAAAACAAAAAAAAAACAACAACAACGGAGTGCTAATTTCCAAACTGATCTTGGCAATACATCGAAAAGCTTCGCTTTACTCTGGAACATTTAAGTTTATATCACTGACTGAAAGGGTGTTGCCGATGAATTCATACACGCGTTTGCTTGCACCAGTTGCATTGTTAGTTTAGAGTTATATTATAACCCAGACTGCACTTCAAGCGCCGTAACATCTAATGTCCTACAAGAGGACGCATCTTGTTGAAATTTATAGTAAAACGACCCGATTTCCAACTCCGTGAATTTTTATGTCCATTCATAGGTAAGAACGAACTTCACATTAGATATGCTGCGTGCCAATTATGAATACCAGAAAATGTTGATATTATAAGATATTTCTACGAATGGTGGTATTTATACCGATCACCAACATGTCAAACTGTACTCCACAAGGATTACCTCTACTCCTGAACTGTTCTCCGTAAGTGCTAACAAGCTATGGTAATTAGGATAAGTACTAACACGGACAAGCCTCTCTTCTGGTGAAATTGGTAGCTCTCGAAACGCCAGAGGAAACATAAATTCGGTTTAGTCATAGAATACATAGGACCTTAGGTTAAGAAGCCGATTTCGGGGCGGTTCACAGCGCTTCGCAACCACGGAGGAATCTGAGTGGTGAACTCTGCTTACGCTACTAGGCCACGAACGTAGATTTTAGGATCTCTCTCCAGTTTCATCCAAGACCACGTCAGCCTCACTAGTGAGAGCCGATGCACGTGTGGGTTGCATATAATCGGTCAACAGTCAAGCCGTCTGTCCATGCTACTGCTTCGTCTGCGGATGTCAAGAAACAATAGAAAATGCGCGCTTCAAAAACAATATAAAATGCCAACAAAAAAGGAGCTGGAGCAGGTGCAAAAGATGAAACCGGCCCGTTGTTTGTCTGGCGATCACTTATGCTAGCCAGAGACTCTTCACCGAAAGGCTAGCTGCGATCAACGAGCAACAGGTGGCGAAGAAAACGCGGATCTATGTGCCAGCAGCGTTCCCTTGCAGGGTTCGGGCTCGTTTGCCACCGGACACCGTGGACCACGGCGATCTGCGCAGGATGCGAAAGCGACTCTAGCACTTGGAGTGAAACAACACGACTAAGCTATAAATACGATATACTCTTAATTTGTGACTCAGTCCTATAGATGGCCACCTGCCATAGTTTTGATACTGGAAACATGCAGGATGGTACCTTGCATCAAAGAATTTTGAGATGAGAAGGAAACAATAAACACGCGACACGTCCTTTTTTCTTCCCCTGTGTGCTTTGCATTTGTGGTTACTAAAAAAACAACAACAACAAAGAATCTCAGACATTGACCATAATCTTTAAATTGATCGTAAAGGAACGTGGATGCTTCGTAACACCGCAGAGAGTTCTAACAATATTTGTTTAGAATGTGCACATTTTGCATACTCTGTCTCGTAGTTAATTTCAACATACTACAGTACTTTTAAACTGGACATGAACAAGAAACACGATTGGGAATCATCCCTTTACTTTATGGTTATCTAAGGGGTGCTGCTACCGCAGAACTGGGAAGGTCGTAGGCGGTTAGCTTCAATTAGAGGGTTACAGGGAAGGCTACACGCAGCCCAGGTATCTGAGGACGCGTATCGAACGGCTTTAAAGAAGAATGGGTGAAACACAGATGGACGCAGTGGTGAACAATGTCGCAGCCTTGCTGCTCCAGTCAACGAACGAATACCTCGCGTGACTGGTATTTTTGCGCCTCTTTGCTCCACGCCCGGACAGACAGGTTTCAGGGATCTTTTAGCAACTATAGCTCGGACAATGAGGAGCATCTTGGTATTGTCGGAACTAACGTTGTGAATGGAACCACCAGATGGTTCTACATTGAAGCGTGCATCATCATACACCCCGTTAGGGCTCACAGGAATATTCCGTGAACAACTTGGGGAAAGCCATTTTATTTTTAATGACACAAATATCCAGTAAAGCCTTGAGGCTGCACTAGCGACGCGTACTGCGGTAATATGATGGGCCGTCGTTGGTTTTTGAAACGAACTGAACATCTGCGATGTTTCTGCGCAGGCATTATCTTGTCAAAAGTCCGAACATCAGGAAGAAAATAAAACAACCAACGATGCCCAGCTTCGACCATCTGTGCAAAGTAGTGTCCACATCAGTCTTGTGCTTACGGCTTTCAGCATCCAGCGGCGCACAAGACGCCGATAGAACTCATCCCGCAAGTCTGGCTGTCTGGCGAACGCGGCGGAGGAGCCGTCACCCGGTCCTTTTGGACAATATACCCACCGTGACCGGTGGAAAAAAGAACACACCGTGACCGCCTGAAAAGAAGAACGCCCCGTGTAGAATAAGGCTACAGCCTTATTCTACAACGGGCTTCAGGAAAGCTGACTGGCGGATGCATTGCGTTCCATCACTAAAGTCAGGCGTCCTCCGCTTCCGTCCGAAAGGCGGGCACAGTCTCAAGTGAGAAGCTCTGCTAAGAACTGTCTGAGGAAGACACTCTCGATTTCGGTCAGCAGTTCTACTTTAGTGCAGAAAATACAACAAACTGCACGCCGCTGTGACACCAGACGCCCTTATAATGCAGACCAACTGCCCGCCGTCGAAACCTCACTACAACAAATTTGACTTTTTTGACTTCGACTAACCCAAATGTCCACTGGACATCTTATAATATTTGGCAACTAGAACGAACAAACAGCAAAACCATCAAATTGATGCGCACTGGATATGTAAAGAAGAGAGCAGATCCGTATGAGCGATTGAACTGCGAACTAAGTTGAACACTTATGTCTCCATCAGATAATATTAAAGCCTCCCCCTCCTCCTCCCCCCCCATTAAAAAAAATTCAATTTTAATGACGAGTATATTGGGAGCTCGCACGCAAAAGTAGCTAAGTTAGATATCCTAAGCGTCGAACCGCGCAATCTACTAGCTATACCGTCATATGTTTCTTGGTTCATAGCTGTTCTTGCGTAAATTTAATAATTATGGCAAAAAAGACCGAGCCATGCCCGCTCACAACTGGCCCTACGCCAAAACGGGTTTCAAAGAGGCCAGCGAATTTTCCCACCTTTCGTATAATCGTACAGGAAGAATGAATAAATGAGTGCATGTTTCCGAAAACCTGACTGGTTCAGTCGACCGAAGATTCCAGTGGCATGGTACGGGCCCAGCGGTTTGACTGGTTAATCTAGTCGAACACCCTACAACGCATTAACCACCCACGACTGTCTCGGCACCTCTCGTGCTGTCCAGACCGAGGTAAAATATCCTGACACCGCCCATCAGTGCCGATAAGAAGTACTGCGGGACTTGAGGCCCTGCCACACTCCAGAGTCTGTCCTTGGGCGCACGATGTCTGCATAATCGAATTGCTCGCCGATAGAGCCGTGCCGTAGGGCAGGTGGAAATCCGTGTGAGTAGTTCCGTCCCCGTCCCTTACTTCGGTCCCTCCCTGCTCGGGCAGATACTCGAGCACTTAACTTATCTGTTGACGTTCCCAGAAAGGAATTTCTCACTCTAGTCGTCTTATCGAGAGCAGCAACGTAAACATTCGATAACGATGCATATAGGCATGTTTCATCACGATAACGAGGCTCCGAGGGAAGGTACGCGAATCGTCAGTCGAACAAGCTCCGCCATTTGCAAGGCCGGGTAGCGGAGGTTCTATTTTTAACCTGACGAGGCGAGTTAGCGTTATTTTCTTCTTATTTGTACCGAAGCGATAAGCCACTCGAGCAGAGCAGAGGCCCCAGTAACATCGTGCAATCGGATCGCGAGCCCATCATACTTCTATGTAGTCCACGTTGGGTGGTTATATATGATATCATGACCCGCGGGGTTCCGTAATCTGCCTGTCCAAAGACGGCAGTGCGGTTGGAGTCTCCTGCGCCTGGGTATCTCGAAGAACTAAAGTTTACGCGTAGGATGACGTGGAGTAAATGCTTTGGAAATGCCTCACCCGAGTTCGCTCGAGATAGTGTGCCTGAGTCAGGACGGAGAGCACGTATCGAATTTGTGCAGTTCTGCTGGCTTATAGTGCGGCGTAATCGCGCCTTATTCTAACAAGATTTGTGCTCGAAAAATTAATTCAAAATGCGCAATATTCACGGCAAGCTAACAGACAAAAAATCGTCAGAACAAAACTTCCTAAAATGAGGAACCCAAAGCTGAATCTGTGCATTAGGTTTAAAAACACGTAACGTAAAAAAAAAAAAAAAAT